TTGTTTACAATGTTAATCTATCTTTTGTTATCCATTGTTATTTTAATCCAGAAAGTAAATTTGTTGTAAAATTAATCTTAACTGGAAGGTGCCCCTTTAAGTTACTGCAGTGCATCTCTATAAATGCATGGGAGGGATTATTTTATTTGCATATAATTAAAATAATGGATATGCATGACACACTAATTTGTGTTAACGCAACCTCTGCTGAATCTTACTGTCGTAACATTTCCCCAGGGTACATCACTGAGTGACTTTCATTAATATCATCCTGCCTACTTCCTTAAATAATTACATGGTTTGAAATGCTTGGGTACACACCGCACTGTGTAGTGATCGAACCCTGTAACAGGACCGATTTTGTAGGGATCTTCAGTCAAAATAGAATCTCAAAAAACAAGTTGAGTCGGCTTGTTGACTGCTGGTGATGTCTTCAAGATAAATAAAGAATTGTATATGGTTGCTGGTGACTTCTGAAGTCGAAAACAAAAATGTTGTGGACCCTGATTAATTTTGTTTTACACTTAGTTTGTTTATTTAATTTTACCCTTTCACTTTACCAAATCTCAAATAATTAGAGTTGTGTTATAGACGTGTGTAAGATGCTGGCATATAGGTAAATAAAGTACTGTTTTAAAAAAAAAAAATGAATCAGTTTTTGTTAGTTTGGTAAGAAAACGTCAAAATAGTGATTTCAATAAAATTGATCATGTGACTGAAACATCTAGAATAATATCGTTATATAAGCTTACACAGTAGTGGTAACGACTTTTGAGAGAATTTACTAATTGAAATTTACACTATGACATTAACAATTTTCAAGTTAGTAATTTAAAGTCTCAAAACTGTCTTCATGATTTTTGAGTAAATTTTTTTTGGTTTGTCCAAAAATGGGGTAAAATTTAGCATGCTTGATTCAAATTTTGGTGGGCCGGGCCAAAGTAGTGTAACTCAAGAGAGGGCGTGGCCTTAAAAATTAAAGACCCCTATAACTTAAACATTAAACTGAACCTGAAACCTGATAAACACACCTTGCATGTATTGTAGAAAATAAAAAAAATTGCTTTTGACCATGATCTTAATTGATTCAACTGTGCATGCAGCTTTTAATCTTCAAGAACAGTTATTAGTTTGCTTTTTGCTAAATTAACTGCAAAATAAGTTCAGGAATAAAGATTATCATTATACCAATTCAGAGCCATGAACTTTTGTGGACAAGAGTCTCTTTTAAATTATGTACACTATTTTACTTCATCTGGCTCTGTGATCATGATGAGATATGGTTTTCTAAATTAATAGCTTTATTAAGATGGTAGCTAGCACTTCCATCATGTCTCCACACGTATCATGACTATGACATGTTAAAATTTAACCTGTTTGGTGTATCTTATAAGTTAAAATGCTAGTTCCAGGGCTAATTTTATATTACTCCAGAATGCGGCACTGCAGTTTGGTGTTATTTTTGTATTATTTCCATCCCTGTAGTTTTAGATTTTTTACTTTTGGTGGGTGTACCTGCACACTGAAGTAAGATTTGAGCCAATGCATTGAATTAGGAGATGGAATTACAGTTGTGTTTCATGGACCAGTTTGAGAATAACAAATACCTGTTCCAGTTGATGAGGTCTCTATCCTTAATGGGATAAATTACACCTTAATATTTGAAATAAAATTGTCAATTGTCATTTTTGGCTCTGCCGTTCATCGTTATTTAATAAAGCAATTTTTTGAACATTAACAACTCGGGACACTCCCATTTGTTCAGGTAAGAAAGGAACAGACAACTTGTACATTTACCTGTCCCAGCTAAAATATACCTACATGTATTTGTGACAGGTAGGACAGGCTTTAATATTGACTCCTGCATTATGAACGAAAACGACCTATTGTCACAAAGCATTTTGGAGTCGTACATGTGTGTCAATTCGAGTCACGCATACAGTACATGTTCACTTTGATTTAACATAGTATTTACTTTGACGTGTATTCTGTCTTATTTACCGGTATGTGCTTTACTTCCTTGTTAGCAGCAAGTGTTTCACTGTTTATATTATTGGAAACTATTACATGTTAGAAACTCGTTAAATTGAATGTGAATTTTATATTTAAAAATGTTTTAAGAATATTGGGATTTTTAATCGATACATGGATTTTCTTGCTCTATGTAAAATTGTTGATAGTAACCAGTATAGAAATGTCAATTTTAGTCATTTTTGCATGACATTTTGTTCTTTTGTTAGGTCACCCAAATTGTTTGTTTTTTTTAATTTTGCCAATAACGTTTATAATGAAAGTAGGAAAAAGATGGTATATAATTTTCAATTCAGATGAAGACCTCCTTACTTATTCATCTTACTCAGTATTAGGGAAAAAAATCAGTCAAATTGTGGAAATACCACGTGGTGAAATTAATTTGCATTAGAGCTGCACGCAATGTAAAATGCAGCGTTGTGAATAGATATTACCCTGGCATGCTTGGATCAGTCCCACAACAGTGCACTCTGCAAAACCTGGTGAGTATACAGACTAGTAGTGCCTAACAGTATTCACATTCATACCACTAAGAGGAAGAGTTGTAGCTTTTTTTGGGGCAGATTCTGAGGTAAGTGATTGCTGCGCTGTTATATTCTCCATTTTAGATACTTCACTTGTGACCTACTTAAAGGTTGGTATATATTAAATTTATATTTAATAATTAGATCATTCATTGTATCGCTCTGCATGTCGTTCATTTAACACAGATGCGAACCCAACGGAGTAGATATTTTTCAATTGAATAAACGTACCATACTCCTCAATATCAGGATATTTTTATTCTGATCTACATCATTTAATTTAAAATGCGTGTGTATTGTTACTTTTTTCTTTGTATTTGTTTATCATTTTATCACTGCTAGTAATACTACTAATAAACGCTAACGAGAATCATATCTACATCATTACATATAATAATTTCCCTATTAGTATTTTTAAAAATATACCACCATTTTTATATTCAAAATAAGTAATATATTTAATGATTCAGTATATA